ATAATCATATGTTGTCATTGACTTTTTGAATCCAGATGACAAAACAGAATTATGTGCAAAATTTCAAACATTTTGACAAAACTAAATTTTAAAAAGCCCATGTAAAATTTTAACATAGTCTGTAGGGGGCGCTAATGAGCCAATTTCAATATTTCCACTTTCAGATGACCTAGACCCTGGAGCTGAACAATGGATTAAAATTTGGTGCAAATCCGGCTTTGTTTGTGCAAACGGGAGCAAATTTACTTTTGTCAAAAATTGGGAAAAAAATGTCACATTTTGCCGCTCCGCTGCTCGGACAACGTTTAACTGATCCAAATTCTATATTCAATAATAGATGGGACATGGGTTTAGACCATGTGGAGCGATTTTGAGACAAATCGGTGAAGCGGCCGAGGAGGAGATAATTTCCAGCCGACATGTGTGAAAAAGATCAATTTTCATTTTTCCATTTTCCAATTAAATTAATGAGCTTCCTGTTTGTCAGGGGGCGGAGCCATAATAACTTTTTTTTCATGTCTTGACCTGAGGAACATGTGTACCGAATTTCGTGGCTCTACGACAAACTTGACCTCCGACCCCCTCCCATAGGCGCAATGTAAACTGACTTTTGTAGGGGGCGCTGTTCTGTCATTTTTTTAGTCCCTTAAAAATAAACACCAAAAAAATTAATTTTTCACCGGTTCTGAATTTTGGGCAAAATTTCACAACTTTTCATCAATGTTCAGGGGGTCAAATTAAGGTTCAAAGCGCAGAAGAAAAAAGAAATAATAATTAAAGCCGCAAGCGGCATCTAACGGCCCTCGCCGCACCGCGCAAAGGAGGTGGCGCTGACGCGCCATTTTTTTGCCCCCCTGATGGGAGCGACACTGTGCATTTTGAAATCCTATGATCAGTGATTGTGTGTGTCTATTGAAAAGGTAAACTTGATTCTCCCCATGTAATACTTGACTCAGTCTGTAGGGGGCGCTATTGCTGCAATTTCGTCTTTAACACTTTCAGTTTACCCAAACCCGAGAGTTGAACAATCAATTCAAATTTTGTGCAAATCGGACTTTGTATGTGCAAATGGTGGCATTTAATGTTGTACAACAGCGCCCCCTACAATTTAATTTTTTTAGTGTTATACCAAAGAACACCAAAATAATAGACTTTATGCCTGAAAAAAACTTGTGGCAAAGTTTGGTGAGTTTTCGTGTTTGTTCAGTGGGTCAAATATGAGATCAAACAACATAAAACCTAAATACCTGTATCCCCATGTAAACCTTTACTCAGCCTGTAGGGGGCGCTAATGGGCCAATGTCATTGTTCACACTGTCATGTGACCTAGGCCCAGGAGTTGAACAACAAAGTCAAGTTTAGTGCTGAGTTTGTAAATGTGCTCCTGTTTACACATACAATCTGTGAGTGTGTCCATACAGTCTCCATTGGATAACATGGGAACTTCACACCTCTCTATGAAAATGACCACACTTTGGGGGTCTGTCACGCTCAGACCGTTTGACTAATTAAAACTCTATATGCAACTATTGATGGTCCATGTGTGGACACCATGTGGAGCGATTTTCAGACAAATTAGGGAAACGGCCGTGGCTGGTTTGATGTTTGAGCGAGGTGTACTTTTCAGAGATTTAACGATTTTCTCATAGACACAGACAGGGGAGTGTTGGTCGTCGCCACGGCAACAGGGTAAAAAATAATCATATGTTGTCATTGACTTTTTGAATCCAGATGACAAAACAGAATTATGTGCAAAATTTCAAACATTTTGACAAAACTAAATTTTAAAAAGCCCATGTAAAACTTTGACATAGTCTGTAGGGGGCGCTAATGAGCCAATTTCAATATTTCCACTTTCAGATGACCTAGACCCTGTAGCTGAACAATGGATTAAAATTTTGTGCAAATCCGGCTTTGTTTGTGCAAACGGGAGCAAATTTACTTTTGTCAAAAATCCCCAAAAAAATGTCACATTTTGCCGCTCCGCTGCTCGGACAACGTTTAACTGATCCAAATTCTATATTCAATAATAGATGGGACATGGGTTTAGACCATGTGGAGCGATTTTGAGACAAATCGGTGAAGCGGCCGAGGAGGAGATAATTTCCAGCCGACATGTGTGAAAAAGATCAATTTTCATTTTTCCATTTTCCAATTAAATTAATGAGCTTCCTGTTTGTCAGGGGGCGGAGCCATAATAACTTTTTTTTCATGTCTTGACCTGAGGAACATGTGTACCGAATTTCGTGGCTCTACGACAAACTTGACCTCCGACCCCCTCCCATAGGCGCAATGTAAACTGACTTTTGTAGGGGGCGCTGTTCTGTCATTTTTTTTGTCCCATAAAAATAAACACCAAAAAAATTAATTTTTCACCGGTTCTGAATTTTGGGCAAAATTTCACAACTTTTCATCAATGTTCAGGGGGTCAAATTAAGGTTCAAAGTGCAGAAGAAAAAAGAAATAAATAAAAATAATAAATAATAAATAAACCAAGGAATTTTTTTTTTAAACTTCGAGCAAAAACAATATAGGTTTCCATAGTAACCTATAATACAAATGATACATCGTTTTAAAGCAAACGACCAGGCGGACGCAACTATTGGGTTCTCGGTGATTGACGAGCGCTGACGCGCTCGTCAATCACCTCGCCATCATGAGGTCACCCACCCCCCCCATAGGACCCCATTCATTACACTGTGTACTACAGCAGGAGCAAAGCCATTCAGTGCCTCCGGCACTGTTTTGTCAGTGTCTGGGCACGCGCCGTCGGGCTTGGGGGACGAATGTCCGGGCTTCGCCCGGACATTCGTCCGTAAGACAGTTGAAGGAACCCCCCTTTAATAGGACTTCAATCATTTCACTGTGTACTACAGCAGGAACAAAGCCATTCCGTGCCTCCGGCACGGATTTATCAGTGCTTGGGCACGTGCCGTCGCGTGCAGGTCACAATCTCCGGGCTGCGCCCGGAGATTGTGACTTAAAACAGTTCAACGAGTAATGCCTGGGCTTCGCCCAGGCATTACTCGTTGGAAAAGCAATAGGCCCTTACCCCGGTTGGGGCTCGGGCCTAATAATAAATAAACCAAACCAAACCAAGGAATTTTTTTTTTTAAATCTTTGAGCAAAAACAATATAGGTTTCCATAGTAACCTATAATACAAATGATACGTCGTTTTAAAGCGAACGACCAGACGAACGCAACTATTGGGTTCTCGGTGATTGACGAGCGCTGACGCGCTCGTCAATCACCTCGCCATCATGAGGTCACCCACCCCCCCCATAGGACCCCATTGATTACACTGTGTACTACAGCAGGAGCAAAGCCATTCAGTGCCTCCGGCACTGTTTTGTCAGTGTATGGGCACGCGCCGTCGGGCTTGGGGACAATGTCCGGGCTTCGCCCGGTTGTAAGACAGTTGAAGGAACCCCCCTTTAATAGGACTTCAATCATTTCACTGTGTACTACAGCAGAAACAAAGCCATTCCGTGCCTCTGGCACGGATTTATCAGTGTCTGGGCACGTGCCGTCGCGTGCAGGTCACAATCTCCGGGCTGCGCCCGGAGATTGTGACTTATGACAGTTCAACAAGTAATGCCTGGGCTTCGCCCAGGCATTACGGCATTACTCGTTGGAAAAGCAATAGGCCCTTACCCCGGTTGGGGCTCGGGCCTAATAATATAATTTTAAGAGTGTCACCCAGTTTGCAAATATTTGTTTAATTTTTACAATTGCCCATAAAATGGCAACCACTAAATGTCTTTGTGAGAAGGTGTGAGGAGGTTGAGCTCAGATCCACCTGAGCCACATCCAGAGGAGACAGCTAGGTGACCTTTAGGTCCTACATTTGGCCAGAACTTCCTCTCTGTCAAAGCAGCGGGGACCTGGAACTTGTTACCTCTGTCTGTCAGAGAGTGTAGCTTACTGGGACGGTTTAAAACTTTAAATTCAGCCTAAAGGCCAGGCTCAACGTTAATCAAGGGTGCAAGCCTTAAGAAGATTGGAAATAATTGTGTGTTGTAGGCATTGTGTATTGTGTATCTTTGTGATTAAGGGTGTTACATTTCACCTGTATCTTAAATGCTAAGTAGGCCATTTTATTCATTAATTCAAGTAACTATGAAGGAAAATTTGCTAGTTGCTATGTCTGGTCTATTGTGCAATGTCCCTGTCAAAATACAAGAGATCAAGTCTGAAAATGAGTGAGTTTACACTTAACAGTCAAATTAGATATGGTTAAAGTTACTTTGAAAAAGTAATTAGTTAAATTACTTAGTTACAAGATTCAAGATTTGCCACTTGCAGTAAAACCACTGGAACCAGTGGGAAAAACTGTGCTACACTACCCCAGTGTGCACCAGACAGAGAAGACAGCACACACCAGAGCTCTTGCCATGGCGCCATTTTTACTGCAGCAAAGTAACCAAGTTACATTACTTTTGGATTACTTTGTGTCATCATGTTTGTAAATATTGCTGTCTTAAAGCAGTTTAATTAAAGGTCAGGACTACAACAACTTGAATGGCAGAACATTGACAGGACAGTAAATGACTAAAGTAGCCAGGACAATTCCTGCTGTAGCACTTGTACTCTTTTTCAACGAGTTTCCTTTTGCGGTGCTGGTTTGCTAGGTGATTACTAAGGTTTGATGTGGTGTTCTTCACTGTTGATAGTATTTTTATTTACAGCAGACGCTGATATTTTTGTCACTTTTCTGCGCCTCAAACTCAGTGATGCCGGTATCTCCATGAATGAAGTGCTGTAATATTGGATGTGTGTTTGTTTATCACGTGGCAGAGGTCGAACGTTGCATGTCATTCAAAAGTAACTCGCAGTTTTGTAACACATTGCAACGCTGCTTGCTTGGAAGAAAGTAGACATAATAATTACAAAACTTTTGTTGCAGGTTACTGACCAACACCGCATTTGACACCACTTTTTATGATGTTAATCTATAGAAGATCAGCGTCAGTGTCCATATATCACAAAAAGCACTCACCTGTCGAAGATTCCTCGTTACTCTCACGTCGTGCCACGCATCGTCATTGAATCTGCCGCTGGTGGGTTCGACCAGAGCCTCGAAAGCACCGGAGCCCAGGTTGATGACCAGCCAGAGCGCCCCGTTTCTGAGGGAAAGGTTAACGTAGTCGGCGGATTTCCCCGTGTGGAGCAGGAGGCCGTTTCTCTGCTGCGTGCGGAAAGACAGCGTGATCTCGTCCAGGCTGCTCTGAATGGGCGTCTGGGAGAGATTGTAGCTGAAGAACTCATTTCCTTTAAAGGTGCCCACAGACTCCTCCTGACCTGAAGTCCAGAAAGAATGAAGTTAGGAAGGACAGAATAAGTGTTATTTCAATGTGTGCACTACTCCTATCTTATTTTCAACTATTCTTTAATATGGCAAATAAACAGTGGTTCTCAAAGTTTACTGCTATAGCCTTCAAAATAAGGACTTCATTTACAGAAATAAGAGACCTAAACAAATATATATATTCGGGACTAAACCAGATGACGATACAGTATATTTTAAGAGCATGTTCACACTTGATCTGGTTCACTTTAACTGGACCAAATCTGGTTCACTTTGAAAAAAAAAAAATCTCCAAAGATCTCCAAACTCTCTCTCCAAAATTGCCTGTGTGAAATGTATAGGTATTTTCTCTCTGCTGCACGTCTTGTTTATTAATCAATCAGCAATTTATCCACTGTGGGACTAATACATTTAATTCATTCATTAACAAACTGACTTATTTAGGAAAAAGTTTGCACCAAGTGAAAATCGAATGTACAGTACTATTAATGAAGCTAATAGGTGTACCTCACTACCTCACTACCTCGCACACAGCTGGCCCCACATGTGCAGTGGATTGCCAAGTCTGTTTTTTGGATCACCAAGTCTGTTTATACATATTTTGGCGAATATGGAAAAGCAGCAGAGAAGATGTGAAAGCTAGAGGGGTGACTTCCAGTAAAAATGACTAAAAGACACATGTTCATTTGTAACGTGTTATTAAATTCACAAATATAAATGTTTTCCCCAAAATGAACCAGATTTGCTCTAGTTAAAGTGAACTAGAGCAACAAATATAAACATACATATCAACATAAAGGGTCAGCGCTAAGAATAGGCTAACCCCCTTAACCCCACGTTGAGAACCACTGCTATAGGGAAAAAATATATGGTCACTTGTACTTTACTCATGTAGAAAATAGCGGCCATTAATCTAACGTGTCATTTTGAAGCATCAACATAAAAGTGTCGGGCTTGGCTGCACACTTAATTTACTACAGAGGCACTGGTCCAACTTTTTCTGACTGATATGGATTCAAGTTATTCAACCTGAACATATGTTAAAGAATAAGAAGAACTGGTGTTTTCAGAGGCACCTTATGTAGAGGGAAACGTAATAAAGCAAGACTGACATAGAACTTGATCAGACAGCAATAGAAACAGATATAGAAATTTATGGACACGGCATAATACAGTTGTGTTGTGTGAGACATGATGGCCATACACTGCGTTGTTGAGAGGAGTTTCAAGCTGAAGTGTTGGTACAGTAAATGATGTAGGCGAAATTCAGACCTCCCATACAAGTGTTCCCATTAGCCCCTATTGTTTGAAGAATGCATTACCTCGCTCCTGTAGAGACTTATTCATACACGAGTGGCTGCTTGTTGCCAGGTCAATACAAAAACAACACAAAAACCCTACATGGCTTGATTTTGTGAGGAAATTGCTAAGTCCTTGTGTGCATTCGTCTGGATATAATTTAGCAAAACAAACCAACTGTATTGTTTCACAGATGAATATTTATGCTGCATTTATAAATATGTACACAAATTCTCTCCAAGTCTGATGAGGTGATTTCCATTCGTTGTTGTGACGGTGCTGCCAAAGATGTCAGTGGATGACCCTCGGGGTGAAGTGAAGGTCTAAGAGGGATCAATCATCCTGTCTGTGAGTGCAGTAAGCCACAATGCCCCCGTCTTTGTAGTCCTCAAGACACAGTGGACAGACTATTATCGGCACTGGGATTGTTTACTTTGCTGCTGGGTACTTACAACAGCTGCTATTGCTGCTGTGTCTTTTACCAACACAGGTAGAGCCCAAAGACATTGTGTTTATTACCTTTAAAAGCCTTGGTGGCAAAGAAAGAATCACCTTTTTTATATCAGCTATAATCTAGTACAGAGCTGCAGCAATTACGCTACATTGCAGACGTTGCATCATAGTGTTGCTAATATTGTACTTTTTCATTATGCAGTTAAGTCCGCAGTGTGTCCAGGGCACAGATGGCGTTTAAGGCTTGACGTTTTGGCACCAGAGGGAGAGCGCAGTGGATTCAGACATTCAAATACAGACCCTGGCCGTTTTCAATACTATGATTAATATGATAATGATCTTGACCCCTAATATTTAATCTAGTGTATATTGTTGTGTTTGCAGACCCAATTATTTCTATTAGAGTCTTAAATACTTGTCATGATACCCAGTTTTCATTTCATTAATCTTCATCCTAACAATAGGTTGTTTTTATTTTATTTCAGCTAAAGGGCAGGTGGCAATTGTTTTTCTTTTTTGAAAGAAATGCTGCCAAGATCACTATTTGATAGTGATTAATTGAACGCCAACATCGGGCATATGTTTTTTCGAATATTGTCACCACTTCAAGACACCTTCATGAGAAAATAATTAGACTAGAGTTGATATGTTCTGTCAAAGAAGATGTCATGTCATTTTCATGTGGATTGGCCCTGGAATGACTGAGTAATTAGCTATAAACTTGACTCAACAATAGATTTTTTGACAGTTACAAGATTTGCAATATAGAATTTTCAGTTTTCCTCAACCACAAATTGAAACTATAGACTTTGTGGGATGTTGTGATGTCATACGAATGCAACCTATAAGGATTCTCAAGTCTGAACGTAATCTTTCACTGCATCTTGGTTTTGTCTATTTCAAGAAAAAAACATGAAAGGTAAAAATGATATTCATTATGATTTTATGGCATAATGCCCTATTCTTGGGTTTCATTAAACTGGCCTGAAGGGGGCGAATGAGCAGAGATGGGACAACTCAGTTTTGCTCCCATTGAAAACCATGTAAATTGTGTCTGTTTAAGAGTCAAAAGGCTCTCATCATGTGCGGTGTGCGGTTATTGTAACAGTCTTAATCGGGAGGGGGACACTCAATTCTAAGGGAGTACTAACAAATATTTCTCAAAGAGAATGATTCTGGGCATTTTTGAAGAAGAAAAAAAAAATAGAAGAAATTGCTGCGTTTCATTCGGGTGGCCTGCAGGGGGCGCTTATCTGGGAAAGCTTTGATCCACCCGCCTGCCTCTTTCGAGTGATTTTTTCAAAGCGTACTCCTTTATATGAGACCACAGTTGGAACACGGAAGAAACTCTTGTCTTTTGTCTTCTCTCTATTTGCGCGGTTGCTACAAGCGTACACCGCACAAAAAGATGGCATTTTGACAGCGCTTCTTCTTCTACTATATTTCCGTGTATAAACCCGGCCGACTGTCCTACATTTGTTATTTGCGGCACTGCCCAGACGTCATATGAAACCCAAGCATAATAATGTCTTCAGAATAATATATGCAATTTAGAGGTGTCTAAAATATAATCGTGTAAGTTGCAGCGAGCATTTGTGGAAAGGTTGAAATTCAATATTAAAAAATAGTCCTGCCCACGTTCAAGCGTTAATTGTTATTAATTATTTTTAGTTATTTGCAAAGTTCATACTGGTAGAAATACTAGCACTGAATGTGTATAAAACCGTCGCCACAATGGTCCGCGCATTGGCAACGGCTCAAAGGGTTATTGAAGTGAATATTTATTCTCACAATCAATTACAGACTTGTACTTCTTATTTACTGGCGCATGAAATGGAGCAATTACATCTACACTTCATCTTATGACAAACCTCGTGGCGGGGGGGCCTTTGGGACACACTCACTGTATGTAATAAAACGTAATTTCACCCGAATACATGTGTTTGGGCGATGAACATTTCAATTAGATGGAACGATATTATTGTCTCATCATGACATGAATTAAGTGACAAAAGAACGGAACATGATGTATTTTCTCAGCGTTAGCGCCCTTTGCTAATTTACATAGACATTCCCCTGTTATTCCGCATAATTCCACACTGAGATATTTTTCATTATTATTGTTGCTGCTTACAATTTACAATGATCCGAGCAAAAGCATACAAAATCTTAATGAGGCGGAAAGTGTTTCTCGAATCCCCTAATGCCTTCCCATTGGCTCATTTACACATCGTTGTGAATCATTGCAAGTGCACGATTTGGTATTTTCAGTGAAAACAAAGCAATAAGTAGATTTCTTTGTGGAATGGCCAAAGTAGCATTAGATGGCGTGTATTTTTGTGGTCTTTGGAGATGGACCACTGATCACCATGGAGACTGAATACGGACTTCCTCTGACTGGCGCTGCTCTAATTGGTTACATTAAAGAGGCAAATAAACACGTGGTAGATAACACACAGGACAGAATAGACCTGGCTTCGCTTTGTCTGATATTTTTCCAGTGATTTATAACTACTTCACAGGTATCAGTGCTATTCCAGTGTTTCGTCTAGTCTAGAGTAAGAATAACTACTAAAGCATTAGTGTAGCCAATTAAATATGAGGTTCCTGTCGTGTCGGGTTTGTGCATTGAGACACAAACCAAAAGGATTATATTACAGCTGTAAAAACTAACATCATATTACTGATGCGATTATATATTTAAAAAAAGACAGGTGTTTTGTTTTTCTTCATAGATTCTATTTGTATTTGGCCTGGTAATAGTATAGTAATTCAGCAAGTGATACATGTAGGATCTTGTAGGGTACAAACTTGATGTAATGTGACCTGTCATCAAAGTATCTGAAGGTTGCATATTAATGAATTATATTGTTAGAGCAAGTCGATGTCTTTTTTTAGGCCCTGGGTTTCTCTCTACCTCTGTCAAAGTCCTTGTGGAACAATATTGTTAGTGTGTGGGCGTGTGATAAGAGCTCACATTCAAAATACCACTGCAATTCCAGCACTCATAAAACATTTCTATGAATATTCATCACCTATTGAACACAAAGGAGTCGGTTGCAATTCAGAAAAGAATTTGAATGTCATTTGAATGTCACAGAACCTGCAATGAATACAAAACAACACACAAGCAGGTTTTCAGAGCAGTCAGAGATGTTCAGAAATCCTATTTGGTTTGGGCTATAATAACAGAAAGTGAAAAAAAGGTATTCCCAGTGTAAAGCTGACACACATCTTCAGC